CAGATGTCTTTCAGTCATTCAGCAAGTTGGTCACTTATAAATTCTACTGGAGCAAATTGGATTGATGAGTTGGATACTGGGATTCAAGAGGTGTGTGTTCAATTCCTGGCTCTGACTTAGATTTTCTTGTGTCACTTAATGATTAATAATCTCTCTGTGACTCAGTTTCCTTATCCCTAAAATGGGCAAAATGCAAGTTCTGTTGTGAGGCTAACTCCATTACTGTGATGGGGGCTCCCTATTTATCTAGATCAGACATTCTCAGACGGGGGGGGAGTGGGCTTCCTTAGAAGAATATCTTGTGTATTGTGGGGCGGGGGAGGGAGAGAGGAGAGAAACATTTTACCTGCAACAGTGAATAACTAGCAAATATGATTCCTTTAGATAGGTCCTCAGATGGCACTGTACATTTTGATGGATTTCGGCTAAGCTTGCATATCATTATCCATTATGTAACATCATTGCTAGCTGAACGTTAATCCATTTGCTACTATGCAGTGTGTGCATTTAATTGTAAGCATTGATTACAGTCACAGTTTTACTTTTGCTCTTGTTACAGTGGATCGTTACTTCATTCATGTAATTCATGGAATTACTCTGCTCCAAAAAGCAGGCACATCCATCACACTAGTAACAGTGTGATGCCAGTAAGTAATTTCTAACTATTTAAATTACTATATACTTGAATGATCATGTTTAGATCCATTCCTTACTCTTTTAAATATTCAGTGAGAATTGCATGTTGATTTTTTTTAAATCAGTGCATGTACTTGTGTGATGGGGAGGAGGCATAATCTACTACAGACACAAAAAAGGGGGCATGATCTTAATAAGTTTGAGAACTATTGAAGACAGACCATATTATGCACTAGGGTTGCAGGTAAATCTGGGACTATTGGTCACTAAGTATGTGCAAAGATAAGCAGCTGTAATTTAGTGGACATGGAACCTATGTTAACTGAAGGTTCATATATGTATCATACATACAAAGCAAAAAAAACCCAAACTTAAAAAAAAAAACAGTGGTATTGCAGCACGCTAGAGACTAACAAACATATATAAATAGTATCACTAACTTTCACAGGCTCATCCCACTTCTTCAGACAAAGCATTAAGCAGACTCTAAAGATCTGAGTTTTGCCTTGTCATTGCTGTTATAAGTCAGGGAAGAACTGGGGACAAAATATTGTAAGTGAGGCTGGTAGCACCATTTATTAAGGTTTCCCAGAACTTCCCATTGTAATACCCCGTTTTCACTTGCTTATAACTTTGCCTATTTTTTTTAACTGTTTGGATTGAAGTTCTCCAGGCTGCATGTCTGCCTCAGTATGATTTTTTCTGGAAAGGTGATTGGATGGGGGAGACACAATTCTGATGAGGAGCTAGTGAGCAGGGGGAGAAATGGGATTGGTTGGGCAAGTGAACTGGGACTGGGATGAACGCAGAAGATTGGAAAGTGGGACTGGCTAGGTGAAGAGAATGAGACTGTGGGTGTGGGAACAGACAGGACTGGGATAGGGACAGGTTGGAGAGAATGGGGCAGAAGTCACATTTGGGGAGAATTTGAGTCTGTGACCCCGGAGAACGCTTCTCCCCACCCCTTCAAGCATGGAATGGAATTTCAGATTCCTAAATCTTACCATTCTTCTCTGTTGTCAGCAACTTTCTGTGAAACCCACTGTCAAAATACATGGTTCAGTGTTCATGGGTCCTGGTCCCATGGAGGATGACAGCCGTCTACTGCTTTCAGTTACTTCATTACCTAAAGTAGTGAATCTGAAATGTTCCAACCTTGTTGATGAATCATTTTGGTGTCAATATGAAGCCACATAAGGTAATTTCTGGTTTTTCAGGTTGCTTTTTTGAAAACCTAGGAAATGATATACATGCACAAAAACCACATTAAAAGAACACTATTAAGGCTGTGAAGTCAAAGCATGAAGAAATAAGGAAATGTCAGAATTCAAGCTGCTCGTGCAACCTCAGTTTAGTTTCTTTGGGGTATAGTCTTTAATTACAGGGTTGTAAAGAGTCTCACATTACAAAGGGCATTCCTTAATTAAATAGAACATTGCCTGTCCTGTACTAAATCAGCAAAGGACGCCTTTTATCCAGTATTTCAACAGCAAGCGGCCAGTACTAACTGCTGCATCTTTCCAGTGGAGCCCTAAGGTTGCCAACAGTCCTTTATTACATGGGATAGTCTTTGAGTCTTCATTTGTACAACAAAAGTGGAAGTTGCTGAATGCTGAAAAAAGCAGCAAGAACTACCCCTATTGAATAAAGGAGTACTGATTATTATTATTATTATTATTGCTATTGCATTATTATTTCATATTATTATCATATCTAGAGGAGGGTTGAAGTGGAGGGTTGCCAGGTGTCTGGTTTTGAACTGGACAGTCTGCTATTTGAGGGTTCTGTCTGGGAAACAAATTGAGAAAATACCAGACATATAAAATGTCCGGTATTTTCTAATTAGGTAAGTTTATTATTATTAGGAGTATCAGTACCTAGTTGTGAACTGCCTGGCTGGTAGACACACTCATGCAGCATGAGTGTGTCTACCAGCCAGGCAGTTCACAACTAGGTACTGATACTCCTAATAATAATAAACTTACCTAATTAGAAAATACCGGACATTTTATATGTCTGGTATTTTCTCAATTTGTTTCCCAGACAGAACCCTCAAATAGCAGACTGTCCAGTTCAAAACCAGACACCTGGCAACCCTCCACTTCAACCCTCCTCTAGATATGATAATAATATGAAATAATAATGCAATAGCAATAATAATAATAATAATAATCAGTACTCCTTTATTCAATAGGGGTAGTTCTTGCTGCTTTTTTCAGCATTCAGCAACTTCCACTTTTGTTGTACAAATGAAGACTCAAAGAGCTGGTTCCCGTCCCCATCTTCTCTGGCCAGCCCCGCTGCCCCTGACCAGCCCTGCTTCCTGCCCCCTTCCTCCCGATCCCCCTGGCCACCCTCGCTGCCCCCAACCCTCGCTGCTTCCTTCCGGACGGTTCCCCGCCCCAATCCCGGCCAGCCCCGCTCCCCTCCTGGCCGGTCCCTGCCCCCATATGAGATCAAGTGTGTCCAGTATTTTTTTGAACCCACCTGGTAACCCTAAAAGCAGAGGTTTAAGAAACTAGTCTCATTTTTTAAATACAACATTGGCAACGATATGCATGTTCCCTCCTGTACTATATTTTTGACATGATCATGTCAAGATAAATTTGCTTGGAGGTATGACTCAGGGTTGTGCAGTGGATGCTGTTGACTATAGGACCCATGCTTCATTTTGTTGCATCAGTCAAAAGGTGTGTAGCAAATGAGAAAGGTGATTGCTAGGAAAACGGATTGTTTCATAGGTAAGGCAGTTGAATGCTGACCTAGAGAGTCCGATTCTATTCCTGTCTCTGTCCCAGAGTTCTAGATGTAAAGCAGGCAAGTCACTTAAATTAAACTTGTCACGTGGTCACTTGCTATGTGTCCCTTTATTTCTGACTGTCCAACTTGAACCCCTGGGGTCTGATTTGTAGAAGTCCTGAGTACTCATGCAACTGATGTCAATGATAGCTGTACTTTGGACATAAAATACTATATAACTCCTCTGAAAAATCAGGTCCTGGAAATCTCAGATGGGACACCCAAAATTAGTTGATACTTTTGACTTTACTCTGTGTGTCAGTTCCCCATCTGTAAAATGGGGATAATACGACTGCCCTCATCTCACTCGGATGTTGTAAAAATAAATTCATAAATGTTAATAAAGCTCTTAGATATCTGGTGTTGAGCACTACAAAAAAACCCAGAAGGAAATGAATAATTCTGTCCTCAGGGCAGAGTGTGAACTGTGTGCACTAAATAAGGCATGGAACCACACACTGAATAATGGGGAAAAACAAAATATTATACAGCGGTGCATCAAATGAGTGAGCATCATCCAGCCTGCACACTTGAATGACACAAAGATTTATTGAAAATAGGAGATTAATTAAACACTGTGTTACAAAGAATATGCAAAAGGGGCTGAATGAAAGTTGAATAACAATCCCTAAATCTGACATTTCCTAACTTGAGTGCTTGACTTTGCAATCTTAAAAATGTTTTTTTTAACATAGCTGGTGTTGAATTACAAATATACTTTGCATATATAATTTTGTTTATTCACTTTGTATAGAAAATTAGGCCTGTATTTTCAAAAGGGACTAATAATATTGGGATGCCTCCATTCTTAATGTGTCCAACTTGAAATTATTTAAAGGGATCTGATTTTTAGAAAGTGCTGTGCACACACCTTATATAAATGCAGCCCATTGAAAGTCCCTCAAGTAGAACACCCAAGTAACATAACACACCAAATCATTAGTCATTTTCAAAAAATCTAGGTCTTACACAGTGTCAGAAAATACTAGAAATTAGAAATACATCATGTCTATTCATGCATCCTGTTAGTCTCTCTGCCAGTGCAGGATTGTTCTCCAAACTGAAAAGTGGCTAGTAGGATAACTAGCTGTTCCGATTTTATAGGGACAGTCCTGATGTTTGGGGTTTTGTCTTATATAGGCACCTATTAATCTGTTGCCCCCTGTCCTGTTTTTTCATACTTGCTATATGGTCACTGTAGTTTCTAGTGACTAAAAGCTACTAAGCAAAGTCTAAGGGTCTAGCTTGAAAGGTCTAAATAAACGATGAAAACTTTTTTTACAAAAAATATGTGGTTATGATGAGAACCAAAAACTCCTGGCCTAACATTGCAAACCACGCTTTCTGGTAAAAGAGGAAGAAGGGCTAACAAACATCCAAACTCCCCAAAACACTGATTTGTTGTAGCCTGAAAGGCAAACATAAATAAGCCAGTTACACATTCATTGAAGGGCTGGCAAAAGTCCTGTCGCCATAGCAACCCCCTCGCTGAGCCTGCTTTGCTTGCACAAGCTTTCTTGTCTATCCCAGCCCCGAACTGCTGAATAGGAGGAGCTTTGCTTTGTCCATTCCTTATTTATAAGCTGTTGAGAGCTAAGGGGCAGTAAGAGTGAGCCATCTCTGCTGCACCGGTGCTGTGTTGCATTTACACCTACAAATGCCTTCTGTGATATATGGTGGCTGCATGCAGGCACTTACATTCCTTTGGCTGCTTGTGTTAGCAGAAGCAGCTACCAGAACCTATTATGTTGGGATTGTGGAGGAGAACTGGGACTATGCACCAACTGGAAAGAATTTGATTACAGGACAAAGCCTCACAGAAGATGAGTAAGTCCTTCTGGTTTCTGGTAAATCAGATCAAGAGAAAAATCCGTGTGTCACCAGTATTGTCTTAAAATGTCTTAAGTTTGTGCCGTCACTGGACTTTAATTAAAACAAACAGTTTGGATAGTGTGACTGCAGTATGCATTTAAGGCTGGGTATGACTTCTATTCAAGCCTGTGGAGAGTGGGAGTTGGATTAGGCCTCTGCTGTTGTCTAAAATGCTTTATTCTCTCTTATTACTGATACAAGCAGGAACTGGATACTTGTGACATTTATTGCAGGGTGAACTTTGGGTCTTGATAGATCTCAAAAAGTGTGAAAAGTTTTTTTTTAATTGAAACTTTGATTTTCAAGGATTCATGTGGGGAATCACACGAGGTCACAGGACTGCTACCTCAGCATAGGCGCTCTACAATGAAAACTGCTGAGAAGCTTTTGTAAACTAGTGAAAATACTGGGCTTTGCCATGAAATTCAAAATGACCCTGGACACACTGCAAAATTGGTTTAAAATCGATACGGACAAGTGCAAAGAATTGCACTAAAGGGGGAAAGATGCACAACAACAAAACGTGGAATAACTAGTTAGGTGGCAGTTAGGATTGCCAATATTCTAATTGCACAAAACCAAACATCTTTGTCCCAGCGCCACTTCCAGCCCCTTCCCCATGGCCTGCTCCCATTCATTCCATCCACCCTCCCTCTGTTGCTTGCTGACCCTCACCCCTCCATTCATTTACTTATTTTCACCAGGGCAGGGCAGGAGGTTGGGATGCAAAAGAGGGTGAGGGCATTGACTGGGGCTGCAGGCTCTGGGGTGGGGCTCAGCATGAGTTTATGGTGTAGGAGGAGGGCTCCAGGCTGGGGGGTTGGGGCCAAAGGGTTTGGAGTGTGGGAGAGGGTTTCAGACTTAGGCAGGGAGTTGGGGTTGGGAGGTGAACAGGTTTGGGATGGGGGTGCAGATTCTGGGGTGAGGCCAGAAATGAGGGGTTTAGGGTGTGGAAGGAGTGCCTGCTCTAGGGTTGGGCTGAGGGGTTTTTGATGTAAGAGGGGGCTCCAGGCTGGGACTGAGGGGTTCAAGGCATGGGAGCGGATTCTAAGCTGGTGCAGGAGGTTGGGGCACAGGAGAGAGTTCAGGGTGCAGGCTCCAGGGGACAGTTTGGGTGTGGGAGGGGGCTCAGGGGTGAGATGGGGTGTGGGAGAGAGTTTGGTTCCCAGTCAATAGGAACTGCAGAGTTGGCTCTCAGGGTGTGGTGGGGGCAATGCACAGAGCCCTGGTGGCTGTCCCTTTTTTGGGGCAACACACAAGTGAGAAGCAAAAAAAAAAAAAAAAAAAAAAAAAACCCCAAACCTTCACTGGACATTTTGACTGACTGAGAAGCACTCTCACATTCCCCTCAAACACCATAATCAAGGGCAGTGTGTCTTAAACTTTTTAAGACCGAGGAACATCAAACAATATTTTTTTTAATGAGGAACACCAAAGATTTTTTGTTGAGCAAAAAAGGGGGGGGGCAGGAAAAAGTTTTTGACCACAAAAACGGGTCGGGGGGGTTATGTAAAAAAAAAAAAAAAAAAAAAGCAGAACAGTTTAAGAAACACTGGTCTAGGGGACTCAGGCTAGTAGATTTTGTGTGCTTCAGCCCACAGGGGAATGGCAGGGACCTGAAGTACCAGTGGGGAAGGGGTAGCCCTGAGCCTCAGGGGAAGGGTCTAGGCAAGCTCTCCACCTTTGGCCTAGTAGCTGAGGAACATATTGCCACTTCAAAAAAAAAAAAAAAGCAGAACAGTTTAAGAAACACTGGTCTAGGGGACTCAGGCTAGTAGATTTTGTGTGCTTCAGCCCACAGGGGAATGGCAGGGACCTGAAGTACCAGTGGGGAAGGGGTAGCCCTGAGCCTCAGGGGAAGGGTCTAGGCAAGCTCTCCACCTTTGGCCTAGTAGCTGAGGAACATATTGCCACTTCCAGAGAGCCCCGCAAAGCCAGGTAAGGAGCCTGCCAGCTCTCCAACAGCTG